AGAAAGATGATCAATTCAATTCAAATAATAAATCCTCAAAATTCTTGTCAATTCAACTCAGCTAAGTTCATCAATTGAATTTAGTTATGTTGATAAAAAAGTGTAAAAGTAAGAGTGTATACTCTGTCTCGTTGTCATGGAGGAGGAGAAGCAGAACAGCAGACCTCTTAGAATTGATACGAAGTTTTCATTGTACCCGAAAATCAATTTTAAGAGCAACAAGATCTGCACATTCTCTCAAATAATATTGTCTTATTTAAAGATATTTTACAATAATAATCACTAACAGTTCGACTATAAAAAAAATACATGGATATCATCAAAAGACAAGAAAAAGTATATCTGTGAATGCAAAGATTCTTGTGACATTTTAGATAAGACATTCAATTTGGTTTAATTACAATAGAATTAAATTTTGTGTCATTTATTATTATTATATTATATGATTAATATTTTTTGTATTGTAACGAATACGAATGGTTTGTAAAAGTCATAGTTTGCGAAAAAGTTAATTGTTTGGTTTCAAGAAAGTAGACAAGGTAAGCGATTAATCGAATAATAAATATTCATTTAAGATTGTTAGTCAGTATTTTATTTGTTTTAGTATCAAATACAAAATTTTATCAAAGTATTAATCGACAGAAAAGTGAATGATCAATATTATTGAATGATTATGAATTAATTAATATTTATTGTACAATAATAAAATAATCAAACTTTCATTTATTTTATTTCGAAGGAGACAAAATATTTGATCAATTTCTATTTTAATTATATCATCTTTTTTATCATTTAAACATTTCATTGAATATATTATTTTTTATTTTGTTTTCGATCAAATAATAATTATCTTTTCTTTTGTACTCTTTTAATGGATATGAATAGATATTTATTTTTATTTATTATGTGAGAATTATAATGTACAAGATAAAATTTATAGGAACTATATATGAAATGGAATCTTTTTAGAAATCAATTGCTATCGATAATGATTCTACTAAAATAATTATAGAGGAAGTATTGAAAATGAAATTTTAATTGTACAATAAATGTTGAATTTCTTCTTGAAAACAGAGACACTAAGTTGTTCTCAAACTGTTTTATTCGATTCATGAATTCTTTTTCTTAAAGCTATTTATTCTTCTACGTTGTTTGTTTTTAGACATTAATAAATAATTCATTTCGTATATGTCATATTTGGTTTTTAAGCAGCTTTTAGTTTATTCCATTGTCGTTTTTTATACTCGTAATAAACTCTTTTATGAGTTGATAAGAACTAGCAAACAAGAATTACTGTGCGCAAATACATACGAAGACATAGAACAGAGATAAGCATCGTGCATATAAAAGATTTCTTTTCACTTAATCCACTCATTTTTCATTTTCTTAACCAACTTTTTACGAATATCTTGTTGATTCTCGCTTTGTTTTCTAAGGTAGGGTAATGTTATTCGATTATAATCTCATGTTTGTATCAGATTATATTATTCATGTATTTACGTGGATAAGGTAGTAAATAAAATGATATTGATGAGAACAAGTAGCATGGATTGACGCAATCCACTGAATCTCTTGACTGTACAAGTTCTTCGGACAAACATGCAAACACACAGTCGTTTCGAGAGATTAAGATCCTAACTACAGTCAATGTGAACATTAGGTTGTTAGGAATATATCGTAGAGGACCTTTGCAAATATCTGATCAGCATGAACAACACAAACTTTCGCCCGTATAATTATGGGAAAAGTCATGACGCAAATATTCCGTAGAAAACCAAATACACTCAGTTAATTTCAGGATTGTGTGAGAGTGTGAGTGTGGGTAGGGGTGTGAATATTGTATTAATCATACTGGCGCACCCTTCTTCTGTATTTTATACGCTCTTCTATTATATTAATCATCAAAGCATTTACTAATATCGTACAAAAATTACTATTTTTATCAGGAGTGTTTCGAGAGGGTGAAGGGGAGTCAAGGATTACTCTCCCCTTGCAAAATTTTATTAATCTTTGAAATGAATTCATCAACTCCTCTAACGTTTCTAGTGCAAATTTCAAGTTACTCTGCAGAATTATCGCCATACTGTCAGAAAAAATCGAAAAATCTTAAAAACTGTACACATGATTATCTTTTGCTTATACGCTAATCACCTAAACAAAACAACTTTTTGTATCATGATTGACGACTTCACAGTTATATAATCTATTCTGTATATCATAAAATACTGTTTTATACTTATCAATCTTTTGTGAATGATAGTAATCTATTTTTATATTAATATCGGATTATGCTCTTATGAATTTTATATAACTGATTTGATGATACATCTTTCTGAAACAAATCATTAGATTTCTTCCATCATCAGTTGCTAAAACATAATGAAAGTATAGTTTTTGTCCGTTGTTATTCTTTTCATCAGTATCACAAACAAATTCTTAGGAAAAAGAAGTTTTCTATTTTCTTAGAAATATATAGAAACAGAATATCGATAATATGTTGTTGTTTTTTTATAATTTAATGTAGACAAACAAATCTATAGCAAGTTTATCAAATCGTTCCGAACTTGTGACTGTTGTATTTTAATTAACGTTTAATAAAATATAAAAGACGTTAGATGATGAATCGTTTTGGCGACATTGATTTTTCCTTCAAACGACTTCCACCTGTTTATGGTTATCGAAGTGAAAAACTTGTTTCAATTGAAAAAGCACTCGAACCCATCCAATCTCAAATTGATGAATTACAATATTATATAAAAATAGCTGAACGACATTGTCATTTTCCATCAGAACATGGACTTACAAAAGATCAATCAGCCGCTGTTTATATTTATACAATGGAATGGGGTGAGACCACTTTGTATCGTGTATTAAATATAGCATTACGATCAGAAAATCGACAAGCATTAAAAATATGGTTTCCATATTTGAAATTATTTGACACAGCATTAGATAAATTACCCACTGTCAAGGAAGTCTTATGGCGAGGTGTTCCTCTTGATATTGGCAAGAACTATACCAAAAATCAACTTATGACATGGTGGAGTATTAATTCATGTTCATCATCCGCTAACGTTATTAAGAATTTTCTTGGAAATGACAAAAACTCAACTCTCTTTTTAATTGAATGTATAAATGGAAAGAAAATTAGTGGTTATACAGAATATGAAAATGAAGATGAAATTATTTTACGAATGGGTACACGGTTTCGTGTGAAATGTGATGCTTTAGAACAATCAAATGGTTCACATATTGTACATTTAGTTGAAATCGATGACGACAATAATGATGAACCATTAGCATCAGCTATGAATTAAATGCATGTCACTCCAAAACTATCAAATCAAGGTGCTTCAGGTAAGTCATTTTACTTCTGTTTAAAGAAATTAAAACCTTGAAATATTTTCAATCAGCAATAGCTTAAAAAACTTTTGATACTATCGTTTTGTAGTTTATTATTAACAGTTTTTCAGTAACATTGAAATATTCATCGATTTTAAAGATAAAATAGTGTCCCAATTAAAATTTGTTAATTTCTGAAAATTATTATGTGAACATCTCAAATGAATAAAACATTATATATATAATCATTAAGTGTTAATACGACTAATCTTCATGAAACGAATAAATCACATACAAATTAGTTTTGTCAATAATTAACTTGTTTTCTTAAATCTTCTGTGTTTTTCATAGATTTCTTTTTATATATAGCTATGAAATCGAACATTTTCATTTTTTTGTGTATTTTTCTGTTCGATATAAACTAAATTTTCTTTGAATAGTAAATGATGTGGTGAGAGAACACATTATTTAAGTGTGATATAATGAATATAGTTTGGTGAAGTTACTGATGAAGAAGATATTCGGATCTGTTGATCCCTTATTTTGACTATAAATAGGTTTTACTGGAACTAAGAAAATCATGAAAAGTATTTGTAGTCCTGACTATTTTCTTCCAACATATAATCAAGTTTATCTTATAAAAATAAGCTTTATTATCATTTTTAGTTTGTGATATATAAAAAAACAAAGTGTTCGAGATAATATATCATTCTAGAAGTTTTATTACTTTGTAACTCAAACTAAATAAAATTTGAGGATGTGGATATATTTAACAAATGACATTGTTCAAACTACGGACAAGAGATCTGTGACACATTACAGATCAATAATTTATAAGAACTAAACTAAACAACTGGTCATCGGCTTTTTATGAAAGTCAATCTTCTAAACATATTATTTTGTACTATTGATGATAGACTTAGAACAGACCTGTTCCAGGTTAAGTATGTGTAATTTCAGTTACTAACTCCAATGGAACTATCGCAGACTTCAGTCGACTGAATAAAACAAGTTGTTTAAGAGTCCCAACTAATATAAAAACAACTGATGACTATATCTCACTTTTATGATAAAAACTGAACGTTCATATGTATCTCACATGAAATCGTCATATATCTATAGTAGAGTAACAGTGTTATCAAAAACTAAAAGGCTTTTTTTTACACAAGTTTTGATCATATCTTCGAAGAAAAGAATCGCGGAGATGAATATTTTCATAGTTTTCTCATTCTTACTGAAACTTATTTATGACGAAAAGATAAAATGAAAACTTCATCAGCAGTTGAAGAATTTTCGTTGTGAATCTTGAATATCTTTACACTGAGATGAATTTCAATACAATATGTTTAGAAGTACTTTGATGTTAATATGTCACACAATCTTAGTCAGACATTCTGTTACTGATGGTTGTTATACATAGTTACATCGGCATGTACTTCTATAATTTCCAAAATTCTCTGAACATTCTAATGAATTAAATATCTAGAAATATTGGTAAAATAATGATGGCAGAATACTTTTGTTAAATAATAAAACACTTTGAGCTCGGTTATGTGAATTAAGGTTTTTCTTAGAATGTTATAAATGTAATCTGTTTATTTGTGTATGAAATGGAAAAGTTATTTTTAGAAAATAGAGAATATGTTTTAGAATTAAAAATGATTTGTAAATAGAAAATTATTTTTGTTTTAAAAATAGAAGATTTTTAATGTTGAAATCGAAGAATAAAATCAAAAATTATTTGTAAATTTTAGTTTTTATTTATTTTGTTAATTTAAAAAGAAATTTTGTTTTCATTCATTTTAATAATATTAGATTTATTTTAGTAGCATTAAATATTTATTTATGTCTTTTCAACATCGATATTCAATAAATTAATCTTAATAGTTTTTCAAATGAAATTAGACAAGTGTTGAAATAGTTTTATACCATTATGAATAATGGTGACAATTCTTCTCCCGTCCATTTTATTCTCTTTTATTGACATGAATTTCGATTTGAATGAGATTAATTCTTCATACTTTAAGATCTATTTTAAAAATCATCGTAGCTTTATGTTCTGTTTTTATTCTGACAGAAAAAGATCTTTAACTTCATTCTCATTTATTTATAGAATTGATCAACCTTCTATATTTGAAAATCAAATTTCTTTCTTTTTTTTTGTTTAAATAAGACAAACTCTATTCAATTCAAAATTTTATCTCTTTTGTTTTTCATTCTTAGGAATCTTTGTTAAACAAAAAACTAAAACTGTAACAATGTTCCTGTGCAGTTTTTGTTAAATATGTATAGAATTTAGTTTTATTGATCAAGATTTTATAGAAGCAAAGATTTCTTTATCAAATAAAAATTGAAATTAGAAAATGTAAAATATAAAAGAATATAATATTCTCTTTCAAATATCTTCATTATGTTTCTCGCATTCTAATTAGATTTACAATGAAAAATATATCTTTTTTTAAATTTTATTTTTAAATATAAATATAAATTTAAATATTTTTCACTTTTTATTTTACAAATACAAAAACAATTTTATTAAATAAATGTTAAATTACATTAATTCAAATCATTTTCATTTTATTTCATCTTCGGCCTCTCAGCAAACTAATTCAACAAAGCAATTCCTCAACAAACATTTTTATACAAATTATCGTTTTTATTTTATTACATTTTAAAACAACACTTTTTTTATTCACATTTATTCATCAACTTCATTCAAATATAAATAAAATCTTTTTTCTTTTAGAACAGTTAGTTCTTGTCAATCACATTAATATCAACACAAAATGGAAACAGCATGGAATTACTATAGCTGGAGGAAATGGACATGGTAATCAATTAAATCAACTCTCTTGTCCTTGGAGTATCTATGTTGATGACGATCATCAAACTATTTATATTGCTGATTTCTGGAATAGTCGTATTGTTGAATGGAAATATGGAGCAAAGAATGGCCAAATTGTTGCAGGTGGAAATGGACAAGGAAATCGAAGTGATCAATTGAATGGTCCAACAGATGTGATTGTTGATAAAAAGAATGATTCTCTCATCATTTGTGATTATGGAAACAGACGAGTCGTACGATGGTCTCGTCAAAATGGTACAAATGGAAAAACAATCATTTCTGACATTGATTGCTGTGGTCTAACAATGGATAACAATGGAGATCTTTATGTCTCTGACTACGAGAAGAATGAAGTGAGAAGATGGAAACAAGGAAAGAAAGAAGGAACAATAGTAACAGGTGGGAATGGAAAAGGAAATCATCTCAATCAACTCGATGGTCCTACTCATATCTTCGTTGATGAAGATCATTCAGTTTATGTATCGGATGATAGAAATCATCGTGTGATAAAATGGATGAAAGGTGCAAAAGACGGTATTGTTGTTGCTGGTGGAAATGGTCAAGGAGATAGTCTCAAACAATTGTTTGGTCCTGAAGGAGTGATTGCCGATCATTTGGGTAATGTTTATGTGGCTGACTATGGCAATAATCGAATAATGCGTTGGTGTCAAGGATGTAAGGAAGGTAGTATTGTTGTTGGTGGAAACCAATATGGAGATAGACCAGATCAGCTCTATGAGCCCAGAAGTTTATCATTCGATGATCAAGGTAATCTCTTTGTTGTCGATGAGGATAATCATCGAATACAAAAATTTGAAATTGATTTAAATTAAATTTGTTGATATTGCTGATGAAATGAATAATTAAATTTTTATGAAAATATTTTGATTTATTTTGATTAAAATATAAATAAAGGTGGAAATTCAAAATGAATTTTTGTTAATGATTGAATTAAGTTTGATTTATTGATAAATATCTTTTTCGATATCGTTTGTTAAAATAAATATTTTTTTCATATTTTTAATTTAAAATAATAAAACAAAAGTTTGATTTATTTGTTAGTTTTATTGTGATCGATTTCATATTGTATTTTAATAAACGAAATTAAATTTTTTGTTTATATTGTGAGGCACATAGAAGTGAGTTTTAAATTCTACTGGAGATGAAATAGTCTGAGAGGATAAGAAAGTAAAATGAAAGAATATTGTAGTGATGAAGTTGTGTGTATGAATACATAAAATTATTTTTAGAATCAATAAATTTGTTAATTTATTTGATTTGCTCTATTGTGTTGATAATAATAATAATGATGAAATATTTGTTATTTTCATTTTAAATTTATTAAATCTGATAAAATGAAACGATGAGTTTATGATTTATGATTAAGTAAAAAGATAAAAAAATATTTGAATAATGAATTAATCGATTTTGTGATAAAATAAAATTTGATGATATTGTTGTTTCGTGTCATTAAAGTAATAATGAAAGGAGAAGAGATAATAGTGATGATGCTTTATAAATGAAATATAAGTGATATTAGATGATTTGTTGATAGAGTTGATTTTGACAACTATTTTCAAATAAATAAATGAGACAATTTATTTTCCTCAGAAAACTGAAAGGAAAGAAGAGTTGTAAAATATGTAAATAATTGTTATATTATTATTGAGATTTGTAAGGTGCAGGCAATGCAAAAATCGAGTGAAATCTATTTTTGCTTTTTTCGTACATGAATCGATAGGGTGGTAGCTGTTTTCTAGTCAAAAACCACGAAATACCTGGAAAATCTAAGATTTCTCAAAAATCAAGTTTTTGGCAAAATATGCAAAAATTACTATGTTTCTTTTCTTGGAACTCTTAGAAAATATTATATTCAGATTCAGCATCAAACACTGATACTAGAAAAGCTCTGAAGTTAGTATTAACAAAAAAATTATTTTTATAGCTGCACTTCTAATACCTTCCACTACAGTACTGATAGATCGATCTAACAAACTTACCTAGTTTTTCTCGGGAAGTGAGAGAGCCAACTTTGTTTTTCGTTTGAATTCTCATACCAGCCCTCATAAAAGAATGCATCCTCTTTATTTTGTTCTATTTTCTCTGTGAAGAAAAATTCGTTTTGCTGAAGGTATAGGAAAATTGAGCAGGTCATTCAGATGTAACACATGTATTTCTCATTCAAATCGAATGAAAACTTGTTTACAATGACAAAATTCAATACCAAACGGGATGAGCATGCTCTGAGAGTGTGGGTGTAGGTGATATTCATGTCTTAATGTGATCCACACCCACACTCTCGATGTATTAAAGCAATATATATTGCTGTTAAAAAAGACTAGCGGATATGAATTTCTGTGCTCTCCATCTAATTAAATTCTTATTGTATTGAAATTTCATTCTACTCTATGTCAAAGAGATAATTTAGTATTTTCTTTGCTGCAGTTATATTAATGAAAGTCAAAAAAGAATAATATATATTTCGTTGCGTATCTAATATAATAAGAAAACGCAAGTCATTCAAGATAATATTTTTAAGTCTGTTTAATTTGTTCAAATAATGAATATTTCCAGCGAAGAATCAGTTAATAATAATAAATTCGTTCTTCATCGGGTTAAATTTATTATTTTAGTCAGTTTACAAAGTCCATCAATTATAATATCTCTTTTAATTGTCATGTTTTTCATTACTTATCATACTCGTTTAAATGTATATCAAAATCAAGCAATATTCTTCTTATTAATTGTCAATTTTTTTCTTCTCTCAACTGATTTATCAATACCTATTCATTTTTATTTTCTTAATTATGTTAATCCGATTACAGCAAGTTTTTGTACATAGTGGATATTTTTTGAATATAGTCTTAGTTTAACAAGTGAACTTTTAATGACTATTATTTCTATTCAACGGCATATACTTATATTTCAACCATCTTTATCAAACATTTGTTTCATACGATTTCCATTGTGTGTTATTTATCCGATCATATTCTATATAATCGTCATCATATTCTATCCATGCGATGGTACTCAATAGGATTTCACAAATAATTTGTGTGGTTACGCAAATTGTTATCTTATTTTATAATAGAATTCTAAGTATATTTGAGTGGGGAATCAATAATGGTTCACCGGTTGTTGTTATTATTTTGGCCAATATAATACTCGTGATACAAATCATCAACATATTTCTATAAGAAAACAGACGTGTATGGTATTACAATTACTTAGTATCTCTAGTCTTTATTGAATTGCTTGGCTACCTAGTCTTCTTATTAGACTTGGTCAACAACTAATCTCTACAACCTTCTTAGCTCAATTTCAGTTCGGCTATGATCTTGATCTGATTTATTTAGTTTGTCTCCTATTGCCATGGATTTGTATTCGATTGCTATCCGGATTTACTGTATTGAGGCGGGACCAATGGCACCACATGATAATACTTCATAATCGTATTAGACCTATGTAATACATCTACTTCAAAAATAATTCAGTAGTATTGAACTTATTTATAGTATACTAATACGGTGATAGAGGGTTACGTAAAATTACAAATGTATTCAAACAGTCTATTTTTATCTGTAACATATAAAAAATTCGTCAGGACACAGATTGTATTCTTACGAATTAAAAGAGTATTAAAATACTTTAAACACTACTGATGGAACTTGAAGATTGTTTTATGACAATTACATTTGAACATTGACTAAGTCATACTACTAATTAATCTGCATTCATTCTTGTTTCTACGAATACGTTTACTTAAAGAATATTCGAAAATGATTTTGTTTTTTCTAAGAAATATTACTACATCTGTCTAGTCGATGTGATTCACTAATAATTTACTATAACAATCCTTTCAAGAAGACGTGCTAAACCTTGACAAAAGTATTTCCAACTTATATATATATATCTTAATGTAACCAGTATCTTTATCAACATAGTTGAGAATAAATAAGACAATAAGCAATTGAATTGTCATTAATAATAATTATGAATACATCTTTATTTAATAATATCAATGTTTGATTGATATTCAATTAACATTTATGTTTAGTTTTAAAAGAGAAAAATAAATAAATAAGTCGAATGAAAATTTTCAAACAGTTTTAAATTGATTTTTCTTTTGATGAAAAAAGATATTTCCCCTGATTTCATTGAGTTTATTCTTTCGGAAAAAACAATTAATAATGAGGAATTCAACACTACGAAATAACTGTTCTTTCCATTTTATTTTCTTCGAATTCAAGTCGATTGATTTTAGATCAATCGTTTATTTAAACATATTTAATGAGCATTCTTAAGAGAAGTTCAAGAAAAACCTTGATCATCATATCTAAAAGTATCAAACTACCCAGTGAAGTAAAGAGAATTGAATAGATTAATGACATCTATTTAAAATTGCATTTTGTTATTGAATGAAAACTACAATATTATTTGCATCTCAAGTCATATAAAAGACGAAAGATCAATAAAATTCTTATAATTCATCTTCTTTAAAGAGACATAGTTTCCAGTCAATGTCAAACTGCTTTTATGATGAAATTTTTTCTTAACTGCCAAAAAAGGTCTTTTTCGTTCTTTTACTACCTACTGATCTTTATTGACTTTGACTCATTTTGTTTTGTATAAAAAAATTCAAACACAAAATGAAAACAAAAATTCATTTCTTTTTCTAATTCTTCAACAAATGGCAGCAGCAAACATTAGAGCACAATGTTCTGTTTGTAATAAAGGAAATACGACATATATTTGTCGTGGATGTTCAAAAGACTTTTGTTTTCAACATTTAACAGAACATCGACAAATTCTTGACAGACAGTTAGATGAAATTGTTAATGATCATGATCAATTTCAACAAACAATCATTGAACAAAAACAAAATCCACACAATTCTTCTTTAATTCAACAAATCAATGAATGGGAAACAAATTCAATTGAGAAAATTCAACTAACAGCACAACAATGTCGAGAAACAGTGATAAAATTGACACAAAAGTCGATCAATGATATTGAAAGAAAGTTTAGTGAATTATCTCAAAAATTAAAGGGAATTCGTCAAGAAAATGAATTTAATGAAATTGATTTAAATCATTTTCAACTAAAATTAACACAAATTACAAAAGAATTTCTTCAACCATCAAATATTTCTATTCGACAAGATTCACAAGAATTTATCAAGAAAATTTCAGTCATTTCGTCATTCGGTATGTTTATTCAATTATTTCATTTCGACATAAGAAAAAATGAAGTTTAACCGAAGTATTTCTTTAAGTTTTTCGTATTACAAATTAATTTTATGAACGAGATTAATGATATCTCATTAGGGAATTTAATTAATTGAAGATTTAGAAAGAAAAGTTTCAAATGTTGAAATTGAACAATTATAAGATCGAGATAAGTCTAAAAATAGGGTGTGCGTGTGGGTGAAAGTAAGGAGTCTATCTCTTACCTTCACTCACACCCTTATGAATTTTTTATCTAAAAAAATTAGATTCTTTTTAAATCGTTGAATAAATTTAAGTTAAGTTCAACTTTTTAGTTTAGAATTCTTAAATAAACGAATTATTTAATTTATTAATAAAAAAGAAGTTTTTAATGAATTCTATTTAAATCATTGAAATAAAAATGACTTTCATTTAAAAAAAGATTTTTCTAAGTTAAACTTTTATGAAAATCAAATAAACAATTTCTAATTAAAAAATCTGAATTAAACGAAGGAATTATTTGAACTTAGTTTTGTTCATTATGAAGAAAGTTTTATTTTATTAAAACAAATTCAAATACAAGTTGTTCTTCTTATCTTCGTCCTTTTTTCATTTAAAAATAATGC